CGGGGTCGTGGCAGCTGCAGGGCGGGGCCGCATCAGCGGCAGGTCGGGGCCATGGCAGCTGCTGGGCGGGGCCGCATCAGCGGCAGGTCGGGGCCGAGGCAAAGGGCCGCGCGCGGCTCGGCGCGGGCTGTTGCGGGCCGCGCGCGGGCCGTGCGAGGCAGGAGCAGGCCTCGCGCGGCTCGGCACGAGCTGCTGCGGGCCGCGCGCGGGCTGCGCGAGGCCGTAGCAGGCCGCGCGCGGCTCGACGCGGGCTGCGCGGGCTCGGCGCGGGCTGCGCGCGGCAGCTGCGAGCTGCGCGCGGCTCGGTGCGGGCTGCGCGCGGTTGCAGCGGGCTGTGCGCGGCTCGGTGCAGGCTGCGCGCGGCTGCAGCGGGCTGCGCGCGGCTCGGTGCGGGCTGCGCGTGGCTGCAGCGGGCTGCGCGCGACTCGGGGCGGGCTGCGCGATCTCGGTGCGGGCAGCGCGCGGTAGCAGCGTGTGTGCGGGCCCGACAGGCGTGTAGAGGCGGCGCGCGGGCCTTACGGGCCTCTAGGGGCAGCGCGCAGGCAAGGCAAGGCAAGGCAAGGCATACAAGGCAAGGCAAGGCTACGTGGGGTAGCGCGGTAACCGCAGCGGTAGGTGGGCCCGAAAAAAAAAACGGTCCTACGGACCTTAGTGCTCTGAAACCATGTCAGAATCTAGCAGCAGGAATGGATGAACTAACAGGATGCAGGAGTACAAGTAGTAAACCCTAACTAGGTTGTACCCCATATGGGCTACCCCACTACAGCCTAGACAATATGCAGCACATGTAGTTTGACACAGGGATGTACCGCCGCGACTTCCGGGGCAAATATATTCTTCTCACGGTTTATGTCGACGATCTGCTCTACACAGGCTCAAGCAACGAGCTACTCGAGCAGTTCGAGAAAGCCTTGGCGGGGCGCGTCGACATCACATGCAACTATGAGGTGAAGCAGTTCTTAGGCCTCAACATCTCCTACGCGCCTGAGGCCATTCACCTTTCAGCGGCTAAGTACGCAGAGGAGCTAGGGAAGCGGTTCAACATTTCACCTGCACCCCTCTCAACTCCCTACCGAACCCCCGGACCGAACCACAAACCTGACAACAAGGCCCTATCCCCTGCTGGAATTCAGACTTACCAGCAGCAGCTGGGATGCCTGCTTTTCGCCTCTGTCACCTGCAGGCCAGACCTCTCCTACATCGCAAGTCAGCTGGCCCAGTACTCACGCAAACCAACGGCTGAGAATCTTCTGGATCTGCAGCGCGCCCTGCAGTACCTTGTCTCAACGCCCAAGATTGGGCTCAACTACACCAACCTCATCATTCAATCTCATCGGCCATGTGGATGCCGATCATGCAGCAGATCCCGACAATCGACGGTCTTGGACCGGCTTCCTGTTCCGACTCGAACCAACGGGACCAATCTCCTGGAACTCGCAGAAGCAGGAACTGGTTGCCCTGTCATCAGCCGAAGCGGAATTCATCGCAGCAACCGCAGCAGTTCGCGAAGGACTCTACTTACAGGAACTCCTGCTGGAGGCGAAAATTCCGGCTTCATCCACCTTTCGTCTTCACTGTGACAACCAGAGCGCGATCCGCATCGCGAACAAACCTGGTTTCGTCAACCGCACCAAGCACATTGCGCTGCGGTATTTCTTCGTGAAGGACGAAGTAGACAAGGGCAAGGTCAACTTGACCTATTGCCCGACCGGTGACATGGCAGCAGACTTCCTCACGAAGCGACTGCCACGCCAGCAGTATCAGCACTGCTCCAAACTCAGCGGCGTGGTCAAGCAGGTCAAGTCGAGCTACGGCCAGGAGTGAAGGGGGGTGTTACGAATAGTAATACCCGAATGTTACTGTGCACTCCTTACCGCAGCAAAGGGAGCATGCAGTATCAAGAACGAACGCGAAGAGTCAAACGGTTGAGAATTGACTCGAAGCGTCAGACAGTTACAGCACATCTGGACCGTCGGGGCAGATGGCATCGACAGCTGCAGGCAGGATGGCTTTGGCGGGAACAGTTTTCATAACTGTACGCGCCGCACGGTTGGGAATGAATTTGAATAAGGGAATGTACCCCTTAGAGTACATGGCTAGCTAGGACGTTTCGCCTTCCCTGTACTCATATTTGGTATATCTGCTGTATTTGCATGTTTTATTCATCTCAAGCATTTTACATCCACTCTGCTATTGAGGTCAATGACCCACCAACTTCATTTATCTGTGTGCGAACCTTCCCGAGTAGATCCTGGGAACGATCAACTTCTGATCGTAGCAGGGTTCTCCTCACTGGAACCTCAAAAGGATCTCAGGTCTTATCTGATAAAGGCCTAATCCAGGGTGATAGAGACTCCTGAGTCTATAAGCAACATCTGTGGCGTGTGTGACGTTTGTGCAGTCCTGGCAGTGCTGCTGCTCCAATGCAGGAGCAACCTGCTAGCACCATGTGCCCTTGCGCTATGGACTGTCATGCCATCACCTCATGTGACCGTGTGTTAACAGGTGATGTGACGAGGCAACAGCAGCTAACGATTTGGTCCAATTAGGACCTTATATTGCGACAACAATGGCCCCATATCATGCTTGACGAGGCGGTGCAAATCAAACTACAATCAACAGTGTCATGGACGAATAATCAAGCAGTCAACCCGTAAATATGTTCACTACGATTTAGATGCAGCAGGGGCAGCAACAGGCGCATCAGGATGGAGAATCAGCTCAGGTCCAGTTGGTGGCCCCAGAGAGCATCGGTCTGTGCTGTGGATTGCAAGGGCGTCCTTCAACTTCTGAATCTGCAGGGGGCAAAGAAGCACACAGCAAAAAAAACTTCACAGAAATTGGACATTGTATGGAAGGACTGCACCACACCTGAATGCCATGGTACCGTATGATAGCAGAGAGGAAGAGCTATGCATGACAAGCAATAGGCGAAGCAAGTGGCTGAAGAAAGCATGCATGCATTTAGTACTAACCTTGGCAATGGAGGCAGAGAAAGCGTCTAGGCGGCCCTCTGCTCCTCGGTAAAAGTGGAACATGGGTAGCAGGCGGATGTTGAGGCTCTTGCACAGCGGCTTGTTGTGGTCGAAGTTGATTTTCACAAACAAAACATCCGGGTACTGTAGGGCTAGCTTGCAGAGCTGGGGATTTGGAAATGGGTGGCAGGAGAACGAAAGAGGTAACGTTGAGGAACCGGTAAAGTTTGGATGCATTACGTTTCAAGCTTGGGCAACCTGGATGCATTATTGAGAGACCATTCTGATGACCATGTGTTCGAAATGACGTTTGTACTCAGAGTAAAAGAGCTTTCCCCTGGTATATCAACGATGACAGCGCACTAACGGCCCGCGTTGAAGCTTTAAAGGCTCTGGAGCGTCAAATTTCGACCACCCACACCTTCGGGCTTGGCTGACATTATTTTGACTACAACCTCATCCCGCAGAACTCACCTTGGGATACAAGGCTCGGCAGGCGCCACACCAGGTGCCGAAGAATTCAACCACGACCAGCTTGTCACCCGCTTCGCCCAAGGTCTCCACGAATTCCTGTGTGGAGTTGAGGTCTCTCATGTTGGGGGGCATGTTCTTCTCCCACCAGTTCTCGCCATCGCTCTCCACCTTCGACGCCTGCACGCCGCTGCGCTGCGCTTGACCTGGACTTAGCACGGCGGCTTGGGCTTTAACTGCTACTTGTCGGCCTTTGAAGGTGGAGAGGTTGGGTAGGGAGACGAACGAGGGAGATTGGAGTCGGAGTGAAGAGGTTTGGCTGTTTAGGGTATTGACGGCGTTCGCGGCGCCGACATTAGAGGCAAGTGCAGCCGCAGCTGTAGCCATCTATGCTAATGGGTTGACCGTTGAAGAGTCAAGTACGGGCCGACTGGTACGACAGCAGGAAAATAGACAGCCCGTGCTTAGTGCGTACGGACCTACCGACCTTAGGAAACTCGAGCACTTGATTTAGAGATAGATCGTTAAGGAAAATGAGAATGATGGTGCTCGAAGCTGCTAAGGAATAACGCGTAGGAACGACTGAGCAATTGTGACGCAACGAATTATCTATAATAGAGTTCCGCCCGCGACGCTACTGGTTTGGCCGGTTACGCAAGGTTCGAGGAACAATCAATGGCGGCTGTCGTTCGGTTCGATTGCCGAGGGGAGGTGTAATTGGCTGTGTCGGGCTTTGAGGGGAGGCTGGAGGGCAACACTGGAGGAGAGGGAGGGACGGGAAGGAGAGGAGGGAGCATGTTACAGTAGGAGGCCGGGCAATGTTCGGCTGGCAAGCCACGGAGATTGTCGCGTCATCCCGGTGACAAGATCGAGGGAGAGAGCGATGACCGAACGGGTGGAGGAAAGTGACCAAATCCCGATGAGGCGAGTCGGTGTGTGGTGAGGAGGTGTTGACCTGACACGTCTCAGTCCGTATTTAGCCAGCTGCTGGGTAAAGTGCAGAGAAAGCGGAGCGTGGCATCTGCAAGTGGTCGAGAAGACAGAACTTGGAGGCCGATGATTCGCTGATTGGTCCTGGCGTGGCAATCCACGCAGCCCACTACGAAGCCGCCCCTGAACTGGGACCACCTATTGGTTACGCGTTCCGTAACACAATAAATCGTCGTGAATTAGTCAAGTCTATAACACTGCGATACACCCAGAATGTGCAGTTTAGGGCGCGTGTGATCCAAGGATTTTTGTCAAAGTTCGAACTCAAACCGCTTTGCATCGTGGAGAGACATCGCTCAATTGTATCCTACCGTGTAGAACCTTTCTAAAAGTTCGAACTTTGGGAAGTTCGAACTTTGATCACACGCGCCCTTATACAGAGTCAACAGCAGGGTATGTGTTATCATGGAAACCGTACTCAGAGCTACATTGTGGAGGTACAAAGGCTGATAAGGAATGAATGCATGTGTGTGAACATGACTCCAAGGAGATATCCTCTCAACACTTCCACAACACCTACCATGAATGCTTTGACACTAACACCAAGGCATGAGCACACGCACCTCACAACTCCACAACCTGCACAGTCAGCCCAGATTCCTCAACACCCACAATACCATCACCACCACCATTACCAAACCCATTAGGGTGCTTCTCCGGGAGAGGCAGGCCCGCCAGGATGTGCGGCACAAACCCAACCACCGACGTGAGCCTCCTATCCACTGCCGCTTGTTCCATGACGCGGCGGTGGAGGCGCGCGATTGGCTCCAAGCAGTCCGGGAGCATGAGGAGGCGTGTGATGTGGCAATCCACCAGTGTCGACACCCACGCGAAGATTCTTTCCAAACGCGGTACAGGGAGGAACGGCCGGGCCCCGAAGACAGAGTAGGCAAAGAGCTCAACAGCGAATCCCCGAGCCGCGTACACGTCAACCCATTTGGCAAAGTATGAAAAGAGGAAGCGGACGTGCGGGAGAGAGAGAGGCGCCAGGGCAGCTGCGAGAATCGTATCGTCGAATGGGACGGCGACAACTGTGTGGAGGATGAGCTCAGCGTCCGTAAACGCGTCCAGCTCAGCAGATGATGTCAGCGCAGCTGCCAGCGAGGACTGAAGCCCGGCATGATTGGCTTTCTTAGAGTTCTTAAACCGCATATCTGCACCGGCCAGCACTGACCGTACATCTGCCACGGCCCTCCGGCCCCTCAGCCTCCTCAACTCCGCCACTCTGCTCCTCACAAACCCCAGCCCACCCTGCACCCCTCCTCCCTTCCCGCCCACCCCCTCCTCCTCATCCGCACTTCTCCCTTTCTCTGCATCACTGCCTGCCTGCTGCTCGCCTGCATGCTCACTGGCCGCCAGGGCATCATCCAGCAGCAGGCGGAGAATGAGAGCCAGGTGTCTGGGAGGCAGGTCGCCCATGTGCACCACACACACCTCCAGTAACAGCACCTCCCGCCGAGCCACCAGGCTCGGCACCAGGTTCGGGCACAGCGCCGACGTGACCTGGCCAGAGCTGACGATGGCTCGGAGCAGCATGCGGTGGGAGCGTGCCAGCGCGTGCTGAGTCAGCGCTGACACGACCGAGGGCGAGAACAGCCTCACGCATTCCGTCACCGACGCAGCAAGCGGCTGGTGGTCCGGACTCAGAGCAGCCATGGCTGCTGCGGCTGCTGGGGGTGTGAGCCCGCTCTCTTCAGTCAGCCGCTTGGCACAGTCCAGGATGAGATGGGCCAGCCTGTGTTGCTCAGCCAAGGAAGGATCTCTCCCTCTCCTCCGCCCCATTTTGTTGCTCCCCGTCATGCCATCTGCCTCCTCCAAAGCTCTCTCGTATGCATCCTTTTCCTCTCCTGCTTCCTCGTCCCCCTCCTCTCCCTCTTCTCCCTCTTCATTCTCTTCCTCTTCCTCCTCTTCCCCATCCTCCTCATCCCCATCCTCCTCATCCCCATCCTCCTCTTCCCCATCCTCCTCTTCCCCATCCTCCTCTTCCTCATCCTCCTCCATCTCCTCTTTCTCCTCTTCCACCTCGTCCTCTTCCATTTCCTCTCCCTCCTCCCTTTCCTCCCCATTCTCAACACCTTCACTACCTACTTTCTTCCCGCCCTCCACCCCCTCCTCGTCCCGCACAGCCATGCCTTCCAGAGCATTGAGCAAGGCCACCTCCGCCTCACTCCCCACAAAAGACAACCATTGCCGCCCATTGCCATCCGTAGCTCGGGACAGGTTCAGGGCCATGTGCAACTTTCCAAACCTCGCCTTCCCACGTGACTTCTTGGCCTTTTTCTTCTCTTTCCGTTTCTGCTTCACTTGCCCAACTCCTGGTTTTGATCCTCCTCCCAATTCCTCTTCTTCCTGCCTCTCTTTCCCCACGTCCTTTCCTGGAAGGTTCTTCACCAACCCCGAGTCATGCAAAGTGGGCCCCACAAACCACCCAGTCGGCTGTAGTGGATTGCTGTGACCCGGCCCAGATTTGTCTGCTAGCGCCAAACCAGCCGCCCTAGCAGCAGAAGCAGCCAAACCACCCCACCCAGCAGTCACCACACCTGCTGCAGGCACCCCCCGTACTTTTGCCGAATCAGTCCTGGCTGCTCCGGAAGGAGGCTCGGCAGCAGGTTCGGTGGGCAAGAGCAGGGGCACAGCGGGTTGAAAAGCCCCTAGAACCGAGGCCAGGGAGAGAGGGGGGCAGTGCACATGCAAGGAGTGCAGGGCGGTTGGCGTGGTAACCAGCAGGGAGGCGTCTTCTGGGGAAGGCCCCACCCATTCCGCGTGAATGAGCGGCAACGGGAGGGGCGAGGGGGGGACGGAGGCGGGGAGGGAGCAGGAGGAGGGGAGAGGGGTGCAGGCGTGCACACAGCCAAAGAGGGTATCCAACGCAATGGTGTAGAGGGGCAGGTGAGCGGAGGCTGCATTGTCGGTGGCGCTCACAGTGGGTTTGGTGTGGGAAGGGGGCTTGGCAGCGAGTACAAGACAGTAGCGGGTCCCAGGCACTGCAGTCATGATTGCTGCTGTTACCCTCGCATGGGCCGACGAGGGCTTTGAGTTTGGGTGATGAGTGACACCGCCCCCAGATACCACCCGCGTTGCCGCCACTGCGAGGCTTCGTGTCAGGGATGCTTCCAGGAAAGTGGGGGGGGGAACGGCGTCTTTGGAGGTGTCAGGTGACGGGGTTTGAGGTGGAATGGTGTTGGGGAAGCACTGACACGTGGCATCACTCCATAGGAGCTGGTTCAAGAAGAAAGGCGAGGGGGGAGTGAAAGACAGTAAAGAGGAACAAACAGAGCGAAGGTTAGCTTTTGAAAGAAAGCACGAGAAGAAATCATTGATCTTCAGATGGTGGTGCGTCAGATATCAGAGCACAGCACAATACAGTACAGCACAATACAGTACAGCACAATACAGTACAGCACAATACAGTAGAGCACAGCATGGCCAGTGACTCACCATGATCTCGCCTGCATCACCCACGCACAGTGACACCACTGCAGGCCCTGCTTCCTCCCCTCCTTCCTCGTCCTCCTCCTCCGTTTCCTCCTCCCCCCCCTCCTGCCGAGGGCCCCTGACTCTGAAGGCCTTCACTAGAGTCACCTTCACCACAGGCGCATCCCCATGCCCGTCGCCTCGCGCCATCACATCCACATCAGCCATGGCCGCATCGCCCGCCGCACATGCCACATGGTACACCCTCGCAATTCTTGCCGTTCCGCCCCTGCCGCTCTTGCTGTTTCCCTCACTCCCCCCCTCCCCTTCCTCTACACCCACCACTGCCAAGACCCACTCACTCCCCTGCTTCCCTTCCCCCTTGTGCCCAAGCCAACTCCCCGAGCCTGACGCCTCCACCCGGATCTTAGGTCCGTCCGCAGGCTCGGTGAGCGAGAAGTTCAGGGAGAGGTTCGGCGAGTAGGTTCGAATGGAGCCATCCGCGCAGAGAGCGAGAACACCCCCGGAGGATTGGGGGGAGGAAGGTATGCTAGAGGTGTTGGCAGAAGCAGTAGGAGTGGCGGCAGCGGTGGTGGTGCTGCTGCCAGGTGTGGTTTGGTCTGCAGGTTTCGTCCCGTCCGGTGGTGTGAGAGATGGGTGCGGAACGGAGGGGGGAAGGTAGAGAAGGATCAGAGAGAAGGCTGAGAGAGGCGCGCTGACTTTTGAGTCGACTCAAAAGTCAGGAAAGGAGAGCGGGTGCTAGAGTGAAACGAAACCAGAAGCGTGGCTAGCTACTTACCAGTGTCGGCGAATCCCGTCGCAGTCAGAGGAAACAGGCGGACGATCGGCCTATCAACTTCCACCACGTGGCAACCGTCCGCCGCGCCTGTCTTGTGCAGGAGCGCGGATGGCGCAATGGAGGACGCGCCGAAAGGCCAGCTCGCCAGCACCTGCGCCTCCGCCCTTGCGGGCGCGCCCGCCCCTGGCGCTTCCGCCGCTGGCGCGTCCGCACTCCTCTGGAGCAGCGCGTAGTGGTGGCGGGACGCGCGGTCAGAGACGCACGGGGACGCGAAACGGTGCGTGGGCGGACCCAGAGGCCACGCGCGGAGCCGAGTCTGAGGGGAACAGGGGGGAGCAGGGGGGACATGGGGCACCCAGCAGGGGGAATAGGGGGGAAAAGGGGCCGAGAAGGATAGCAGAGAGGGGAGGAATGTAGGAGGAGGTTCAGGGTTGAGGGTTCCAGCTTTGGTGAACGCGGCTGGACGCATAAGAGAGAGACGCGGAGCGAGAGGAGGCAGTAAAGGTACGGTAAACCCAGCGGTCAGGCACGAATTCGAGAATGCGAGGGGAGAGAACGGAGATGCGCGAAGGATGCGTGAACGGAAGTTCAGGGTTAGAGGTTCAGCTCAAATTTCTAAAAACGGGAACTAGATACTTCCTCGATTCTCACACGCGCTTTTGAAACGCTCAGCCACATACGGCCTGCGCACTCGGGATGTGAAGATCGGGCTGTGACTGCAGGTGACGACGCCATCTGCGATACAAGACGATCGCCCTCAGGATAACACGCGAGGACCGAAACTCACCCGAGACGACACGGAGAATGTGGATGCGCCGTCCGACTGCCTGGAGAGCATGACGGTGGAATCGTCGACTCTCGACGCCCCTATGAACACCCCAGGAGGTTCCTTCCGTGTGCCTACCACTGACCATGAGGTCTCCTGTAACCCCCCTGGTAACCCGCACAGATGCACGCAGTCAATCTCCATGGCGCAAAATGCTACCTGGATGAGACGGACTAACGTTAGACGGAGACTACAACACTGGTGATCTGGGGATTGGGGCTGCAAGGGGTGTTCAAGAGGGTTTTGCGACCTGAGCAGAACAAAGTGCGGGAAATCTTACTCATTGTATGAGCAGATTCGATAGTGGTACAGCTTTCTGTGCGAAATTGTTTCCTGCAAAAGTTCACTCCACTGATCAACATTCAAGAACCTTTCGGAAGTACCTTGGTGTTGGCGTTTTGTGTCAGCCTTGGGATTTGCACTCTGCTGAGCTGACGCGCACCTTTTTGAAACGCATCCCGTCCCGTCATACTCGTACATACCCCGCGCCACATTTCCGTCCCCCTCCTGTGGTCGCCATTCCGCTGGTCGTACCTTTCTCCTTGTTGGTACGAAGCTGATCTTCTGATACACTTCTTCGTGCCATCCTTCATCGCTACTCTGAGAGACGATTCGTGTAGCCTCGGTAGTCCTCATGGCCGCGATATCTCCTGTTGTGGCTAGCGCGATTAGAGGCAGCGCATTTGCGCTGTCCTGGAAGAGCGACGCCAAGAATACTGTTTCCCAGCGACTCGCAATTCGTCAAACGCGATATGATGGTCTTTGCAATAAGGTCAGCGTCCACAGCCGCTACGAAGAGCGTGTGGTTCTTCGCGTTATCAATTAGCTACCGAGTGTTTTACGTGATGACTCATGCGTCCTTCTTGCATTTGAAGGATCGCGATGTCGTATCGCTGTCGCCAGTTTCATCCCTTCCCTCATCTTCCCGTGCTTCCCCTTGACGCTTATCTCCACAGGGGAGCGGAATTTCAGGTAGAGGCATGGGATCAGGACGACTGATTGAACGAAACGCCCAGGCCAAGGTCCACGTGTCAATCGCTGCAAGCCTTGATATCGACATGGACATTGCTCCTCCGCCTATCGACGGCGACCTGACGGTGCGTTTACCTGGAGCCACATTTTTCTGTCAACAGAGCAGCACGAACCTAGTGTGAAGGCAAATTGACTTATTTTAAAGGTTGATTTTGTGTGTTCAGGAGACGATGGAGGAGTATGGAGCGGAGTTTGATGCGGAAGGGGTGCCTGTGACGTTCAACAACAATGATACGACGCCATTAATGCAGCCCTCAACTCTGTCGCTGTACGTCTCGTGCCTGGCGCATCAGTCACTGCGATCTTCATTGTTACTGCTTCGCCTTCATACATCCCAGTCCCATTTCCTTCCTCCCTTTTCATCGTTCCGGCATGACGCGGTGTCCTCCCCTGTCGTGCGACCTTGTTCTCTGTGTCCTAATTCTCATGCCTACTTCAGGTCTTTGACATGTCTCACTTCGGCAGAATCAAAGGTAAACAAGAATCTCAGAAATAGTAGATGATGGGATTCGCAAGCTCAGGACGATGGCAGGCAGAAAGAAAAAAGGAAATAAGAGAATCGTTACAAGGACGGCATGGAGCGTGTCAGCATTTATGCAGGGACCCCAACTCGCAACACGTTGTTTCCGCCTCTTTTTTTTTTTTTTTCACAGCCTCCGCTAACCTCTTCCTTCCATCCTGGTTGGTTGGCTTGACTTCGACCTCACTGTGACCACCTGACATGCTTTCCACCATGCTTCTTCCTATTGACGTCATCATGGCAGTATCTGGGGAAGACCGGATTCGATTCCTGCATAACCAGACCACGGCTGATTTCAACTCTCTCTCCCCTGGCCAGGCGAGTAGCCTCTATGTGGACTGATCCTGTCATGCATTGAAGCACTAGTGCATTCGTGCACCACCTTTTTTTGCAGGCCATGATTCTGCTAGTGATTGCTTGTGTATGCAGGCCTGTACATACTTGAGGGCATTGAACTTGGGAGCTATACTCATTTGCCTTCGGCAAAACCTTTTTTGCTGATGCATGGAACATCATTTGTGGCATAGAGTCCCTTTATGACTGAAACTACATGCCATTGCATGACATCCCACAGCATTGCATAACAACATATTGCATTGCATGGCCTCTTTTTGCATGGCATGGTGTTGCATTGCATGACATCATCTCGCATGTCACTACAGGGATGCATGACTGTGTTTGTGTCACCAACAGCCCGAACAATTGATCTCGCCACTGCATGGGTTATGGTGAGCGAGCACCATGCGTTTGGCTCATGACTGGTACACTTGAACCCATTTCTCCTATGTCTGCCTTGCTGCTTTTCAATAATAAGGCATTTCAGTTCTGCTACCCTTGTGTAACACGTGGCCACACTCGTTCCCATATTGATTTCACCCACTTGCCTCCCTATTCTTCCACTTCCCTCCTCCAACCCCGCCCATTTGTCGTTCCTCTGCTGCGTTAGGCCACTTCTGTTATTCTCACAGTCTCACCCGGCAAAGCTCAGAAGCTGGTTACCACAATGGACAGGTGAATGCAGCAACCGCTGGTTACCTCATTAGATAGGTAGGAGGGGTTGTGCGAAATGGGAGATGAAGGAAGGGGAGGCCAGTTACTGCTCTTACCGTTTCTTCCTAGCAACTTGAATCTTCTGACTCCAATCATCCCATCCTCTCCACACATCACCCTCTTCTTGTCATACTCTCATCACCCCTCTCACACCCTCTGCCAGGAGCGTTGGATGCCAATTTCTTTTTCCATTCCACCCATCGCCCCCTTTTCATCCCACCTGCATGTTTTGCACTGCCTTTTCCCTTTTATCCTCATTCCCTGTCAGGTACATCTTCCCAGCGGACAAGGTATCAGTGGCGGACATTTCAGAGCAAACGAGGCTGCTTGCCCTCATCGGCCCTCAGGCACCCACGGTCCGTTTTTCTTCTTCCTCTTCTCCTTTCTTGCACATGTTTTCACGTTTTATTGTCGTTTTACTGCTGTCATACTCACCTCATCACGCACACTGCATCATGCACGCCTGCGGTGCCTGACTGGCTGGTCTGCAGGTTGTGGAGAAGCTTGGTCTCACTCAGCTGCTGGGGCAGCCAGAAGGGGCCCATGCACACTTTGCTGTAAGGGGCCCATGCACACTTTGCTGTAAGGGGCCCATGCACACTTTGCTGTAAGGGGCCCATGCACACTTTGCTGTAAGGGGCCCATGCACACTTTGCTGTAAGGGGCCCATGCACACTTTGCTGTGAGGGGCCCATGCACACTTTGCTGTAAGCGAATTTCTTGTGTGTGTTTTTTTTGCATTCTAACGTGACTGAGTTCTGACAAACTTGTTCCAACATCATCCCTGCAGCTGTATTAATAAAATCAACAAGCTCCTCCACTCTGACGTGTTTCCTCCCCCTCAACTCACCCCTGCCCCCCCCCTCACCTGCTTCCTTCGGGCCATTCCCCCTACACCTGCCCCTGTGCCCCCCTCACCCTCCCTCTTCCCCTCTCCGTGGTCCTTTCCTGCATCCCAGGTTGAGGGGGCGCCGGCAACAGTGGGCGTGGGCAGTGGGCTGGGCGCCTCTGTGCCCGGATTCCTGCTCATGCTGTCAGCTGACGTGGCAGGTCGTGTGTGGAGCCACCTCACCGATGGATTTGGGATCACCCCGATTGGTGCAGCCGCGTGGGAGAGACTGCGAGTACAGCAAGGTGCTCATTCTCTACAATACGCTCATGCTTCAGACACATGCTTGTCTGTCCGTCTCCCACTACTTCTCCACCTCTGCATCCTTCTGCACCCCACCCCCATCTCTGCCTGTAACCCTGCCCATCGTGTATCTGCTGCCCTGTACATTCTTTAAGAAAAAAACGAAAACCTCGGCCTTCAACTCCTTCCTGGTGCCTGCCTTGAGCAGGGCGCCCTATGCCGGGGTCGGAGCTGACAGACGAGTTCAACCCACTGGAGGCAGCTCTCTTCCAATGCATCTCCACCACCAAAGGTCTCTCCCAACTGCTCTCTGCCACCTGCTGCCTGCACCCTCTCCTTTCATCCCCATGCTGCTCCTCTGAGCCCCCCTCTTTTGCCCCCCCTCCGCAGCTCCTGTTTCAGATTGAGGAATGAATGTGTGTGAGTGCGTTTCTTTGTATCTGCTCTCACATTTCACTGATGCTGTCAGTTGTTGACTGACTGCACGTGTTGTCTCGTTACAGGGTGTTACATGGGCCAGGAGACCATCGCTAGGCTGATTACATATGACGGGGTGAAGCAGCAACTCTGGGGACTCCGCCTTGCCAACCCAGTCTCTGTTGGTGCCATTATTACAAACAAGGAAGGGGCAAAGGTAATGTCTCCCCGTTGTCCCTTCATTTCATCCCCGTTGTGATGGTTACAATTTTGTCTAAACCTTTCCGTTTCTTGCAGATTGGAAAGGTAACAAGTTGTGTCTATGGCCCTCATGTTCACGATGGCACAACCTCATGTGAGTACCTTGCTCTCGGATATCTCAAGCGGCAAGAGGGTGGAGAGGGCACTTTTGTGCTTGTGGAGGGGCAAGAAGCTGCAGTCACTGACCTTCCGTATGCTCAGAGAAACCTCAGTTAGCCACTTCAACAGACCCTGAATACTAATTATAAGCTAAATTGCCTTGGTGTACATGTCAAGATATCAAGGTGCTTGTTTGTACGTGGTCCTTGATTCAGTGTTTTGTTCGAGTTGCGATTTATTGTGCCGTTCTCCGGAAAACTCGGGACTTCCCCAGCATCCAGTTCCTTTTTAGACCGCCTGCGCAATCTTTCAAGCCGCAAGCTTCCGCTTCCCGTACAACCGTAGCCAATCCGCCCGTCCAATGCTCACCTAATTCTAGCTCGCGCTGTCAGATGATGCCACCTGTCACTTAAATTGTATCTTGCGCCATCTGCCAGTCAGCCCCTTTTGTGTGCGCAACCACCGGCCGCCAGCTTTCCGCCTGGAAGACTGCGTCTTCGCTCTCGTTTGTGTCACTCTTGCCTCGCTGGAGGAACTTTTCTTCCTTGTCTGCGCATGCCTCCGCTGAGGTCAGTTCAGTTCGCGCACACCTCGAGGTTGTCTGCTCCTCGTTTCTCCTCACCAAACAAACACCGTTGCTACAGTTCCACTTGCTTGCTTCTCCCTTGCTTTCGTTATCCACCCACACCACCACCAGTCCTGCAGGGACTAGCCAACACTAACGCGTTTCGCTTGTTCTGCCATGCCTCTTGTAGGAACTGCTGAATTACACGTATACCTTGAGAATGGCTGAAGTAAGACGAAGAAATTATTATAGGCGCTGCTTTCCCCTTGCCGACTTCGCGTGACGCCCCAGTTTTCTTTGTGTTCGAGTGATTTCTGGAATTGACCGCAAGAATTGTCTCCAGGCAAAGCTTAGCATTACACCGAAAGCTCTGCATTTTTCAGTCGTCCTCTTCATCCAATTTGCTAGCGACCTTGTTTTGAATATACTACCATCTTCATCTTGACAAGGCCAATCTGTTCGAGATTAGCATTCCATTTCATAACACAAATAGCAGCAAGCGAGCGAGCTGGCTCAAATCGAAACAGCACGCGCGAATCACAGCATGTCGGACTCGGAGTCTCACGAGAGCGAGGCGGATCACGTTTCCGGCGTGCCCTGCATCTCCGGCCAACCGTCCTGCGGAGGCGTCTTTCTGCGCAACGTCTGGCCCTTCGCCGGCAGCGGGAAGAGCCTTCAAAAGAACTACCTCCACAACAGCGTCCGCACTGACGCGGACGAGACCCATGGCGCGCAGCGCGACTCGACTCCGGACGCGAAAGCAGACTCTAACGCGGATGCTGATATCGAGCACAATGCGGAGCAGTCTGGCTCTGCAAGCGGCAATGCCTCCCCGATGAAGCGAGGATTTCTCGGTCGCATGCGGGATAGAGCGAGCTCTCCTTTCCACCTGGCGTCGGACTTGAGCCATCGCATGAGCAGCAGCGGAAGGGATAAGTCGCCGGGACGCGTCGCAGCTTCGAAACGACGCGGCAAGTCGGATCGCTCCCCGCAACGCAGCCGCTCGAACAAATCACCGCTCCGCGCAACGGCTAGTTCAAGTGAGAGCGATGCCGCTGCCAAGATTGCGGGGCTGGATGCGAATGCGGCGCGAGACCAGGCATCTGGAGCGGGCTTGAGTCAGGCCGTTAGTGAAGGAGCCGTTTTAGGAGATGTTGGTGATGTGACTGTAGAGAGAGTGACTGTAAGCGAGTCAGCGGCAGTGGGTATGGATATAAGCGGCGACGACGAGGCCGTGTCGGCGTATAAGCCGAAAGATGCGCAAAGAATCGCGGAAAACGCGCCGTCGGATCAGGGATCCTCGGAGCCGAGCATATCTCAACCGTCGATTGGGCAGGAGAAAAATCCCCCGAACGTGTTGCAACCTCAAGAAGATCAAATGGCATCGCCAGCAGCAGCCGTGGCTTCTGCCGCCGCGGAAGGCGCCGTGATCTCCGGCGCGAGACACGGTAAGGAGGAGGTGGAGGAGGAGCAAGCGATGGAGCACGAGATGCAAGAGCTCACCGTGAGCGACGGGTCCGGGGGCACCAGTGTTCCCGTCATGGCGGTAGGCGGAGTGGGAGCGGGAGCATTAGCGGGAGCGATAGCGGGAGCGGATGGAAGGGATGAGAATCGGAGAGAAGAGGAGGCGGCGGTTGGAAAGGACGCGGAGGAAGGGCGGTCGGAGACGAATGAGGAGGGGCGCGCGGAGGTGAACGAGGATGGACGGTCGGAAGCGAGCTCGGACGTACATGCTGCCACGCCTCTTCCTTCGCGCAATGACGCGCAGGTTAGCGTGCGTGAGTTTGTTTCCGATGCGCCCCAAAGAGCGCGCTGATGAATCAGGAGGGACGGTCGGAGGCGAGTTCGGACGTGCATGCTGCCGCGCCCTCTCCTTGGCGTGGTCACTCGCAGGTGAGCATTTTGCAGAACTGTTTTTGAGACGCTTCAAAAACAGCGCTGGGAGGTGAGGTAGGGGGGACGCCCGGAGACTAGTTCGAATCGGATGTGCATGCTGCCGGGCCCTCACCGTGCGTGGTGATGACTCGCAGGTGAGCGTGCGCAAGTGATAGTGTGGGACGAGGGGAGATGCCGACAGAGAGGTGCAATGGCAATGTGGACAAGGCCTAAGCAATGACAAGCTTCGATCACTCATTTTAAGTGCTAGTGCTAACGATAAAGAACGCAGTGGTAACCAGTAACGCCACAACGATCATATTCTCCTTTTGTTACATCCGATTCCCCCAGCCTCTCCCACACCCATTCACCTCAAAGGAGCCTGTACTGCTGAGCAGTATAGACAGGCATCTAGGGCTTCTCAGTTCAGGCAGCATGAGCAAGGTCACACCGGCTCTATTCTCGTCTGTCCCCTGCAATCCCTGAACCTACCTCGCTTTCCAACCTGCTCCCTGATTCCCAACAGTCCACATCACCCGAGGAGGAGCCGGTGATGCTGGACAGTCTGGACAGGTGTCTGGCGCTGCTGGGCTCGGGCAACAAGAGCAAGGTCACCATGGCCCTCGTGGCAGTGCTCGCCTACGTGGCATCTGGTGACGTGGACAACATGAACAACGTCTACGGCGCCCTCCCGTTCTCTCTCCTCCAGGAGGCCTTCCGGGCAGCTGTGGCCAAAGGTGTGTGCTGTGACCCAAAGGTGTGTGCCGTGGAAATTACAGGAATAAGGGATTTCTGAAATGAAAGGGATGAAATGGATATCACAAGAATATTGCTATCTTTCTGGTTACTAGCAACGATTTCAATGCAACCCGAATGTACATATGGAAGGAGAAACGCGCTTGTGAGATTGAACCACAGCGGCTACTGTTTGACCATGTCAACGTGCTCCTCTCATCCTTACCCTCGTTCTCTCTCGCCTCTCCCTCCACCCCAGGGAGCACGGGGTCAAATGGCATGGTGGAGGAGGACGAGCTGGTGCACGCGGCACTGGCAGTGCTGGCAGTGCTGGCAGTGCTGGCGGTGGCAATGACTTGTATACACTGCTAATTGACTGTCTTAACGCCCTCTTCTTATCCTTGCCCATGTTTTCTTGCCTCTCCACGTCCCAGGGAGCACAGGGTCAAACGGCATGGTGGAGGAGGAGGAGCTGGTGCATGCAGCGCTGGCGGTGCTGGCGCTGCTGCTGCAGGAGCCTGACCTCGCCTACGCGCCACAGACCACGCTGCTCGTGCCCCACCTCGTTGGACTCATCCGCAACGGGTCAGTCCGCCTCGCCCCCTCTGCCCTCCTCTGCCCCCCTCTGCTGCATCTGGGTTCCTCAACTTTCCACCCTGCTCTGATGTGCATCTGGAGCTGCCTGTGCTCTGATGTGTTGTGCTGTGCGGGTTGGACTTCCATTGCCCCCTCTTCTCTTTTGTGTGATGCTGAGATGCCATCGTACTGCTGCTCCTTTCAACCGCCCCTCCGCTCTGCCTCCCCCACTCATACGCAGCACCTGACTCCCCTCCCACAACTCCTCACCCTTCCACCCTGCCGGGTTCCTGTCGCCTTGTTGGTCCACGTCCACGGGACCAGGTACGAACCAGTGGTGGCGGGGGACGCGTGTGAGTAGGGTGGCCACGGAGTCAGACGCGGGGCTGTGAAGGCCGCTGACCACCTTCATCCCCCACCCAGCTCATTCACATGCCCCCTTACCCTTCCACCCTGCCCCCCCATGCCCTCCCCGTCCTTGCATCTGCACCCTCTCCAAGCAGGTACGATCCAGTGGTGGCGGTGGATGCGTACGAGTGTCTGCTGGGGGTGGCCGCGGACGGCCTTGATCCCCACTGCACCTCATTCACACGCCTCCTTACCCTCCCGCCCCTCCCTTCCCTCCCTTCACCCCCTGCCCTCCGACCAGGTACGACCCAGTGGTGGCGGTGGACGCGTATGAGTGTCTGCTGGGGGTGGCCACGGGGTCAGACGCGGGGCTCAAGGCAGTCAAGGGCGCGGACGTGCTGGGAGTTGTGGCCGAGAATATTCAGCGCTCCAGCCCAGGTGCGATGCTGGATGGCATATGACGGGGCAGGTGGTGTATTAGGGAGTACGTGGCAGGGGCTTTATAAGCTGACTCCCATCCCATGTGCTGGGAGTGGTGGCTGAAAGCATCCAGCACTCCAGCCCAGGTGCGATGCTGGATGGCATATGACGGGGCAGGTGGTGTATTAGGGAGTACGTGGCAGGGCCTTTATAAGCTGACTCCCATCCCATGTGCTGGGAGTGGTGGCTGAAAGCATCCAGCACTCCAGCCAAGGTGCGATGCTGGATGGCATATGACGGGGCAGGTGGTGTATTAGGGAGTACGTGGCAGGGCCTTTATAAGCTGACTCCCATCCCATGTGCTGGGAGTGGTGGCTGAACGCATCCAGCACTCCAGCCCAGGTGCGATGCTGGATGGCATATGACGGGGCAGGTGGTGTATTAGGGAGTACGTGGCAGGGCCTTTATAAGCTGACTCCCATCCCATGTGCTGGGAGTGGTGGCTGAAAGCATCCAGCACTCCAGCCCAGGTGCGATGCTGGATGGCATATGACGGGGCAGGTGGTGTATTAGGGAGTACGTGGCAGGGGCTTTATAAGCTAACTCCCATCCCATGTGCTGGGAGTGGTGGCTGAAAGCATCCAGCACTCCAGCCCAGGTGCGCTGTTGCAGAGCATGAGGCAGGTGCGTCGTACTGGTAAAGGTATGAGTGATGACAGAAAGAAAACAATCAACACTCCCTCACCCCTTCTCTTTCCCCCGTTCCCAATCCCCACCCCCCAACACCCCTTCCCTGCCCCACCACCGCCCTCCACTGCCCCAAATGGCGCCCCTGTGTGCAGGGTGCGAGTCACTACCGTCGGCCATCCAGCTGCTGGGCTTCCTCTTCATGAGTGGCGTGTCTGACATCGAGATGTACGAGTACAAGCACGAGTTCGCTGCTGCGGTGAGTGCTTCAAGGTTTCAAAGGTTCCAAGCTGATGATTTGAAGTGTTTGAGCTGTCCACTAGTTTGGTTGGTGGCCTGCGTGTGCCTTCCAAATCACCTTGCTAGAAATTCCCTTCTATTTCCCGTCTGCCCCCATCCCCTCCTTACCTCCTTTCCCTCCTCCGGACCTTTTCCCCGTGCTCTGTTTCCCCTTAACCCCAGGTGCCGGCGCTAGCGCGCGAGCTGGCACAGCGCACGGACATGCTCAAGTACGAAGTGCTCAAGCTGCTTGTCGCCATGCTCTCGTCCGAGCCTGCGGTGCGTGCCTGCGTAGTCGGGGGGCGGAGGTAGGAGGGCAGAGGTAGACGGGAGGTAAGTGATAGGACGGGAGAGGTGGAAAAGTGAGGCAAGAGTGGCAGCAAACCATTTGTGGAGCTGCCAAAGCTTTTCAACCTCCGTCTATGCAATCCTCGTCCTTATCACCCCCTCCTGTTGTCCCGCTCTGCCTCTCTCTCCATGCTCCCCTCACCAGGAGCCAGTGAGATCGGTGGTGCAGACCTTTGATTCGGGCAGCGAGGGCAGGCAGTGGGCGCATGATATTCGGGCAGGTCTGGCAGACATTCTGCTGGACAGCAACGGGGAGGAGTTTCGAAAGGATGCTCTGCAGCTCGTGCGAGTGGTGGCAGAGATTCAAGGGGAGGCCTGGCTCGTGGAAACAGGGGAAGGCGGAGGAGCTGAGAGCGGTGCGAATGGGTTGAGTGCGGTGCGGCCGTCGCCAGCTGACCAGTTCCTGCTGGTGCTGCTGCAGGCTCTGAAGGTGGAAATGCCTCCGCTGTTACAGGAGCTGGCAGTGCTGACAATTGAGAATGAGGAGGAGGCAGCAAAGGATGGCGAGGGTGGGGAGGGCGGTGAGGGCGGCGAAGGGGAAGGCGAAGTGGATGGCGAGGAAAAGGACAAGATGAACGCGGACGCAGCGTGGGCGGCGCTGGGCGGCAATCTGGACCGTAAGGCAGGAGGAGGGCTAGGGCGAGCAGGGGGGTTGGGGCGAGCAGGAGGGCTGGGCAAGGGGGAAATCACGCGCATGCAATCCCTTGTGCCCACTAGTGAGGACTGGCGCTCCGTGGTGAATGAGATGGTGTGGGAGCCGCCGAAAGATAATGATGATGACCCGTCACTGTTGCAGATAGAGGAGGAGGTTCCAGAGGAGACTGGCCCTCCTGAGGAGGTGAAGCGGCTGTATCGGGTGCTGGGGGATTGCTATTGCCTGGTTGAGAAGGTGATTGCGGCCCTGGCTGGAGCTGCTGCAGAGGTGGAGAAGGGGAAGGGGAAGGGGGGAGCGGGTGGGGAGGAGAAGGGTGGGGAGGGGGAGGGGAAGGAGGTGGCGACGCTGGTGGAGAGGCTGGGGGCGGAGACGGTGCAGGCGTGTGTGAAGCTGGTGGATGGCATCATCAAAGACGTGCTCTTCTTCCTGCAACTCGCCCAGGTGAGAAAGAAGGGACAGGCATGTGTGGTGCTGCTTGTTGGGCATGCTGTGTTCTGCTGCTTGTAGGTCGACTCACTCACAAGAGCCATCTCCGTGCAGCTGTGCAGCTGTGTGTGGAATATTTTTGCGTGCATTATTGTGCCGTCGTGTGTTTTAATGTGCATCATTGCGCCGTCATGTGTTTCTGCATGCATTAATGCTCCCTCGCATGCGTTTCTGTGAGCAGGAGCGGGAGCGGTATTCGCATGATGGAGTTTTGTCTGCCATCAAAGTGCTGGGAAGGTACTAGCACCCTGCTTTCCCCACTCTAGCCACCAGTGTTGCACCGCCCCGTGACCACATTGCAACGATACACAGCACAGCACAACAAAGTATCGCAACCCATCCGGCACATGTTATTGCATGAGATCACATAGCATACCACTGCATCTCATCGCATCATCACATCATATAATACCACAGCAAGTACCTCCCTCCCCAACTTGTGACCCACTGTTTCTTTTCCCTCTTCAACCCCCCTTTCCCCTCCTTTCCCTGCTCCCCCTGCCCCCCTCCCCCCTCCCCCCACCCTCCCCCTCCGCTTCTCCTGGCAGCTACCTGGCAGTGGCACCATCAGCGCATCGCAAGAGGGTGGGCCGGCTGCTGGGCTTTATGCTAGGCGTGAAGGGGGAGGACGAGGACAGGTGAGAACGCTTATACTGGTGGCGGTAGTAAGTGTGGGTGGGTCTGCCCTGACTCATCGCTCTGCTGCCCCCCTTCACAACCCCGCTGGCATTAGACACCTCCTGCCTGCTCTTACGCCACCAGGCGCTTCAAAATACTCCTCTCCTCACTCAGCCTCACTCTCCTCTCCTCACTCTTCACTCCTCCCTTCTCCTTCCTCTGTCCTCACTCCTTCTGTCCATTGCTCATGCCCCCTACGCCCCCATGCCTCCCCCTCATCATGGCAGGCCGCTACTGGCATCACGCTACCTGCTGCCCGCCCTGGTGCACATGAGCAGTGAGCCCCGCGGCTGCAACACCATCATCAAGCGCGGCGGCCACCGTTTCGTGAGCACCCCTCCCCTTCCTCTGCCCCCTCTCTCCCCTCTCCCCACTCTCCTCCCTTTCCCCATCCTTTTTCCTGCGCCAGTCACATCTGTCTCGCTCTCTGCTTTTCCCCTTCGCACACCCTTTGCCTGCTCTTCAAGTAACATACCCTCCCCTCTCGCCTGCCCCTTCCCTAGCATATCGAGTATGTAGCAGAGACAGGTTGCACCAACATGACACACGCCCTCCTTTCGCCTCACTCCCTGCACGCTCCTCCATCTACCCCTCTCTCGTGCCCTTCCACCAGCTGATCGAGTACGTGGCGGAGACGGGGCGAACCAACATGACGGGGCAGCTGCGGTCAGGGGCGGAGGGGCAGGCCAGCCTCATGCAGGCCGCTGACGTCATCCTCAACCTCTTCTCCCTGGTGAGCCAAGTCGCCTCTCGTCAACTCTACTCGCCTGTGTGGGTCGCTGTGCCTTCCTTGTGCCGCTGTGCCTTGAGCTTGTTGTGTGGGCTGCCATGCCTTGTACCTTTCAGGCCGCCATTCTGTGCGTCTAGCCTTGTAGACTGCCCCAATGGTTGTGCTGTCTTTCCTCACTGGCTGCTTGTTCTTCTTGCATCCCCACCCACACCATCCCCACCATCCCCACCATCTTACCATGCAATGCACCCAATGCAGAGGCGGAACATCAAGGTGCCTTTGGATCCACATGACTTTGTGCCACTGCTGGCATCCATGGCTGCATGGAGCAGCGTCAAGAGTAAGCATGCTACAACCCATGATTCATTCGTATGTAGCTACTACAGTGTTTGATTGTCCATTACCACACGCTTTGCATCTCTCTGCTTCCTTTCCCCTCTCTCCAAACCTCTCTTCCCCTCCTCCGCCTCACCTCACCCCTCCCCCCCTACCTTCCCCCAGGCACGGACCCAAAGATCACGTACAAGACTCTAGCGATGGCAGCATGTGTCAATGTATCCATGCTGCAGCTCTCATCAGAGGACATAGTGAAGAAGAAGCTCGACCTGGCCACGTACAAGAAGCTGCCCGCGTCACTGGCGGTGATTGTCAAGTTCCTGGAGTTTGGGCACCGCAACTGCAACTCCTTCAGCAGCGAGACCGAGATCAAGGAGCTCTGGGACGTCACGCTGGGATGTGAGTTGCTTGGGATTAAACAGCAAATACTCCACTCCCTTTCCCCCTCTCTTCCCTTGTCTCCTCCACCCCATTCCCACACGATGTCACTGCTTGACTCTTCTCCCCCACTTGCGCCTCTTCCGCCTATCTTCCCCTCGAACCACCCACCAGCGTGTCAGGACTGTCTGCTGCTGTGGCCGCAGCTCAAGCGGGCTATAGTCAAGTCAGAGTACTGGGCTCGCGTCTCCCGGCAAAAGTGAGTGCTGCACCAATGGATTTGTGGTGATTATGTATGACATCTTTACCGAAACTCCTCCACTCTCCACTCCCGCTTCTTGATATCCACTCTCCACTCCCGCTTCTTGATATCCACTCTCCACTCCCGCTTCTTGATATCCACTCTCCACTCCCGCTTCTTGATATCCACTCTCCACTCCCGCTTCTTGATATCCACTCTCCACTCCCGCTTCTTTATTTTTCTCCTAACTCGTTCCCATCTCCCCTGTGCTCTCCCCTCAATCCGCCCTGCCCCCCCCTCTCTTTTCTCGCTCTTTTCTCGCTCTATCTGTGTCTCTGTGTGAGCAGGGCGGTGACACAGGAGAGGCTGAACCAGGTGTGCAAAGACGAGCGACTGCGGAAGCTGCTGGCGCTCGTTGCCTTTTCCAACTGACACTCCTCGCCTTCTCCTCTCCTCCAACTGACATCCCTCCTCCCCTTCTCTCCAACTGGCATCCTTTTTGTTGCCGCTCTCCTGCAACTAACATGCACCTACCTCCACCTACCTCTTTCTCCCTTGCCCTGTTGACTCGTATCTGATTCCACGCCCACCCTGCCAACCTTCTCTTTGTTCCTCCACCTCACCAACTCCCTAGAAACACTCCAGTCCCCCACAGCCCCTCTCCTGCAAACCAACTAGTTCTTGTATCTAATTACCCTTGTAAGTGCACCAGCCTCAGTCAGCGAGACAGCTAAAACCCCTCCAGCACATGTAACCCTTTTTATATTACTGTTGGGTCTGAGCCGAGGCCAAACAAGGGATGTGACTTGCTGTGTGCAGCACACGCAAGCAATCCCTTGCATTTTCTTCGGTATGTGAGTTGTGGTTTCTAGAGTATTCGCCGTTCCCCCTCCATATGGTGGCCTGTCTTTCGTAAACCTTCATTAACCATCCCAAAAGGTGTAGGCAAAAGCCTTCAACAACGTGAAACTTATTGCATATTTGAGTGGCTAGTGTTCAAATAGACCTATTAAAGCCTTTTTGGCTTGGTTCTTGTGCAAAGAAAAGTTCGACACCTAAAATTTCGGCCGATTTTGCCGACAAATGCTCAGTAAGCCCATGAATCCCTATAGGCGTGGGGAATAGCATTCAGCAACCTCCTGGTTACTGCATTTATTCGAGTTTCTAGTGTTAAAATAAATCTAAAACAGCCTTTTCGGCTTGGTTCTTGTGCAAAGAAAAGTTCGGCGCATATGATTTTTGCCGACTTTGCCGACAAATGCATAGTAAGCCCATGAATCCCTATAGGCGTAAGGAAAAGCATTCAACAACCTAAAAGTTACTGCATATTTGAGGGGCTAATGTTCAAATACACCTATTAGAGCCTTTTCGGCTTGGTTCTTGCACGAAGAAAAGTTCGGCGCCTACGATTTCGGCCGATTTTGCCGACAAATGCTCAGTAAGCCCATGAAGGCGTAGGAAAAGGCATTCAACAACCTGAAAGTTACATGATAATTTTTGAAATATATGTTTCAAAATTTGAAGATTATGACAAGACTTGTAAAGGATGATGCAGTAAGGAGTCAACAGTTCAATATCTCGTGGCAGGTCCACGGACCTGCCACCTAGTCTAATTCATTCGTAGATCTGAATCTACAACAGCACACCCTACTAACTTTCCATTTCCTAGCCTAAACACTTCCACCATTGCCCCGGCTGCTTTCACATGCTCCTTATTTCGCGACACACGACGCGATTAATGCGGCTGCTGCAGCTGTTGCTGAAATGACCATGGCGAAATTGTTGCCACTGCCTCATAACATGACGAGATTGATGCCACGGGTGACAATTCCGCTTCGCTGCTGCATTGGAACATGACAAGGTCAATAGCTCGGCTTTACATGGCAAACATCGCTGCGGTGAAGGTTAATCTTGTCGAAATTTCTCGCTGCTGCACCTGCTGCCCACGACGAAGCTGCTGCGGCGACTGCAGCGAGCGCCGCGGGCTGCTGTTGCACGAGCTCCTGGATGGCGCGGTTGCGTAATCCGCTACTGCTTCACTTTCGCTACTACTTCGGCGATTTCGCTACCACTTCGGCGTTTTCGCTGCTTCCGTTAGCGCCATCTCCTGCTGCTGCTGTGAACGCCATCTGATGCTGCTGCTATAAGCGCGACCTGCTGTTTTTACTGCTGCTGCTTTCATCGCGATCTGCTGCTGCTGCTGCTGCTGCTGCTGCTATAATCATGACCTGCTGCTGCTACAATCGCGATCTGCTGCTGCTGCTGCTATAATCATGACCTGCTGCTGCTACAATCGCGATCTGCTGCTGCTGATACAATCGCGATCTGCTGCTGCTGATACAATCGCGATCTGCTGCTGCCATAATCGCGATCTGCCACTGCCATAATTGCGATTTGCTGCTGCTGTTACGATCGCGATTTGCTGATGCTGATACAATCGCGATCTGCTGCTGCTGCTATAAAGGCGATCTGCCGCTGCTGCTTTCATCGCGATCTGCTGTGGCTACTTCCGTGAGCGCGATCTGCTACTGCTGCGATGAGCGCGCTCTGCTGCTGCTGCGACGAGCGTGATCTACTACTGCTGTGAGCCCGATCTGCTGCTGTTGCCGCTCTTCGAGCGTTTTTTTTTTTACTGCTGCTGTTAGTGCGCTCTGCCACTATCGCGGGATCGATGAGTGCTGCTAGCAGGCTCGCCCTGCTGTGCCTGGCAGAGTAGCAGCTACACCAGCATCCAGCGATAATTTTGTTGAAGTTGCTCACGCTACTGTGCGTAACAAAAAAAATGTGATTTGCTGGTGGCTATGGAATTACTATTCTGGTAACGCCCAGTAGGAAGATTTAGAAGAGATTTGTGGTGCCCAGAAAGATTTTAACCCATTGAAAGGGAAGGGACATGTTAACAAAAAAAAAAAAAAAGAGCACTATTGTGCACCAGGCGGTAGGGCCAGTGTATTTCTCTTTTGCGCCCACGCCAATATACGTGATTGGCAGTTTCCAATAATTATAAGCCGTTCTGACTAAGAATTATCATGGATAATGGAATGAGTGTGTTCCAGAAATGAAATTAATTTCTGCCATTGCTTTCATTTCATGCAATACGAGAAACATTACCAAGCTTCTACTTCTTGTTGCAACATTCAGGCGTTGCAAACATGGTTTGGTGGGACAAGACTGCTGACAAACTATTTCACGAGTCAATATATATATATATATATATATATAAACATAAAAACCCTCTCTTATCGAATATTATTAATATTGAAGGGGTACCATTGGCGGCCAAAAAAAAAAAAAAAACAATCAACCTTCTCTGGCATAAACATGTCACCAATATACAATCGTAATAATTTGGCATCCATGTACGTCGGAATCATTGGTTCCCAGTCTATGAAGAAGCCAATATTCTCACGAATGTACCAGTGCCACCTACAGTTCAACCACCACTTGATAGTTTTATGCTGAAATCGTTGTTATTTAGCGTGGATTGTGCAGCAACGACTGTCGTTCACGACACCTACCCGGCAGGGTAGTTGCTATATTACAACACCGTTCTATCCAACGAAGAACTACCTCGGAGTTCAACTATACCTCTTCCATATACTTGTCAAATGATGCATTCCTGGAGCGCGTCACAAAGCCTTGCGTCTCAAACGACAAGATACAATGCGGTGGAAATGTTCGATTCGTGTATGTAATGTGGTGCGGACCGGTACATTGCTTCTATGGCGGCATCGAGACCCTTGTGTCGATACAAGAATGTACCCAAAGGCTCCTGCAAAGAGCGCGCGCCTTACTCGGCAGCACGACGTATGCGGATAGTACAACAGTTTGAGTCCGTACCCCGTACTGTATCTGTTGACACTTTATTGTTAGAATCTAGAGACAAGAATGAATGCATTGATCAAGAGTTGGGTACATAAGCTAACCCTAACATTGGGTTGTACCCCATATGGGCTACCCCACTAGCAGCCTACACAAACACAATATGCATAGTTTGACACACCCCCATAGGCAAAGTGGGGGAGAACAAGGGGTCACAAGACCAGTCAAGAGAAACAAACCAAGCTCAGGGTGGATCACAACGTCACCACACAGACTGAGCACAAGCAAAGGGCCACAAGGCCAGTCCACATGCAGAGGTATATATGCAACAAACAAAGTACAGTGATCACTACCTAGCAAGAGCAAGCATGCAGGTATATATATATAAAGATCACAGTACAGGCAGAGTCTACAGCAAGTGTGGAAACGTAGGCACAAGGCCCAACAAGGTACAAAAGCGCTGATGATCACCAGACGGAAGTGCCTTGGTGAATATATCAGCAGTGTTGGCCCGAGTGGCCACGTGTGCAAGACGAAGCTGACCACGCTGCTGCAACTCTCGAGCCAGGAAGTAACGCAGAGCGATGTGCTTCGTTCTGTGCTCCAGTCTGTGCTCCTCACACAAGGCAATGGCTGCCTTGTTGTCAACGTACAGAACTGGAGGAGAACGAGGCCGCTCTCCCAGGTCGGTCAGCAGGTACGTGAGCCAGCGCAGCTCCTGAGCAGCCATGGCGGTGGCGTAGATCTCAGCCTCACAACTGGAGCTGAGAACAGAAGACGAGCGAGTAGAACGCCAAGAAACAGAACCAGAGCCAAGGCTGAAAGTGTAACCCTGTGACGACCGCTGCGTAGCCTGGTCGTCAACCCAAGAAGCGTCTGAGTGCCCAGTGAGGACCACCTCTCGCCGTCCTCCAAGCACGAGCCCCATGCCCGATGTACTGCACAAGTAGCGCAGTACCCTCTTCGCAGCATCCCAGTGCACCTTTCGGTGCTGACCAGGAGCCACGTAGCGAGCCAGAAGGCCAAGAGGGTACGCAAGGTCAGGACGAGTGCAAGTCATCAGGTACATGAGGCAGCCTACTAGCTCTGGGTAAGGACCACTCGGCTCTACGGACTCGTCCGAAGGTGGAGCTGAGAGCGAGTGACCTGTAGCCAGAGGAGTGGACTGTGCCGAGGACCAGGTGAAGCCGAAGCGCTGAAGGACCTGCTGCACCATGTGTGACTGAGTCAGAGTGATGGTGCGACGTGCTCTGTCCCGGGTGATCTGCAAGCCAAGGTAGCTGCGCAGCTCACCCAGGTCTGTGCACGTGTGTCTCTTCTGCAGCTCCGACTTCACCAGGGCGAGAGCCTCAGTGTCAGCAGTGGCAAAGACCAAGTCGTCGACGTACACGAGGATGTAGAACGGTGGCAGTGAAGTGTCGGTGCGCAGAAACAGTGACGGGTCAGCTGTGGAGGGCGCAAACCCGAGAGCCGCAAGCGTAGTCCTCAGTGTGTCGTGCCACTCACGAGGCGCCTGACGGAGACCGTAGACTGGCCGGCGGAGGCTCCACTGGGTACCAGGAGGGAACGACCCAGTGAAGCCAGGTGGGCGGCGCAGCCAGATCTCCTCG